GCACAAAGCGCGCACAAACACGCACAAAGCGCGCACAAACACGCACAAAGCGCGCACAAACACGCACACACACGCACGCACACACACAAATCGCGCGCGCGCACACACACAAATCGCGCGCGCGCACACACACAAATCGCGCGCGCGCGCACACACACATACACACAAGCGGTGGGCGCTTAGGTGAGTGTTAAGTACAGATTTGCGACGTAATCAAAAGACTCCTGTGTCTGAGAGCAAGGCAATCCCGACTTCCCGACTTGGATATCTTTCCGTGTGAGGTGTTCTTCAGGGAAGTGCGCAGGTGTAGGCCGATCGTGAGGTGCGTCTTCATTCTGCTTGGAATTGCCTGTGCTGTTTAGTACGCAAAGAACCTTAGTAGTGCATCTAAGTGTAGTTACCGAGCGAAAGCATGTGAAGATGCCACTCGCTCATTAATGAATCTGTATTCTCTCAGGTTATATTGTTTTTGATATTGGCTAATTTTAGGTGTTAGTGCAGTGCAATATATTAGTGCTTTTTAAGTTTTTATTGTCGTTTTCTGTATCTGTTTAAAGACTATTTTGATGCCTTTTTATGTGCCTGAAACGCACGTTTTTAGTGTCTTAACATCCGATGTCTAATGATAAGTATGAATTGTAAATCTATAAAAAGCAAAAAGGTGTAAAACAACACCAAGTTCAAAGTATTGTGTTCAAAAGGATGAGTGAAATCATACGAATCCAGATTTTAATAATCAGCCCAGACGAAAGCCTACCGTTCGGAGAGGGACTTTTAATTCAGCTGTTACGAACGGGCAGCGAGGCCACGTACACAGAAAAGTGTATACATTGCCATAGGTTATTAGATGCGGGTCAGTATTTTTCTTTGTAGTTCCCAGTTCGTGGCTGCCGCTGTTGCCCAGTGTTTGTGGTAGGAACGACTGTTATTGGTGTATAGAAAAGTGGAAAGGAGTGGTAAAGGGTGGGGCGGGTCTTACATAAATGCCCTTGAAACGCCATCGCGCCAGGGTGTGAATGGGCCAGTTTCTTCTAAGGGCGACATTTGAAACTCGGGGAGACAATCTAAGAATTGATGAGCGAAACGAAACGCAAGTCGGAATAAATATTAAGAATGCTAGGGAATGTTTTTTATAAGCTCTTTTGAGTATGTTTCCTTGATTTGGATAGGTATTCCAGAGTGCGGGCATCATAACTTAGGCACCAAAAGCGAATTAATTGTATCTGTGGTAAAGAGAGTGAATACTTTTCTTCAGGGGTCGTCAGTCTCTATAGGGGAGACGATCCCCTGTTCATCCCCCTCCTACCTAGCGCAGTGGGCAGGCGCAGCCGCTCTGTCGTTGGCCTTGTGGTGTGCACGACGCCCGCGCGCGCGCGCGCGTGTGTGTGGCAGGAGCGCGACGCGAAGGCCGCCGCGGACGCCGAGGAAGGAGCAGCCGACGAGTGGCAGCCTGCCGGGGCGACGTTCACTGAACGCGCGAGCGCGTGCGGCCTGGAGCAGCTGCTGCAGGAGCTGTGCACCAACGCGCGCGTGGCGGTGCACTGGCAGCTGCTGGCGTGGACGGTGGCCCGTTTCCGCAGCGTGGCCGCCGCCTCCGCCGCCGCCGCCTCCGCCCACGGCGCCGCTTCCGCTTCCGCGGCCGGCGCCGAAGAGGCGGAGCCGGCGGTGGCGGAGGAGGTGGAGATGGTGGGCGGCGCCGTTCGCGAGGAGTCGCAGCGCCGCCACGAGAAGGCGGAGAAGTCCCGCGAACGCATCATGGCGCAGATGCGCGCGATGCAATTGAAGTTCATGAAGTCGCATGCAGCCCTAATGGAGGAAGTGCAGGTAACGCATTTTTCTTTCTACCTGCCCTGCATCTTTTGCTTTCTTACTTTGTTTGTTTCTTTTTTCATTTAATCTTTTCTCTTTCTGTCTTCCGCCCTTCGTCACCACCTGCCTCTCTTCGTCTTACAAAACAGTAATCCACCCAACATTTTCTTTTTCTCTTAATCTCCCTTCTCTTTCCTCTCTCTATTTTTCCCCTCTCTCTCTTTATCCCTCTCTCTCTTTTTCCTCTCTCTCTCTTTTTCCTCTCTCTCTCTTTTTTCCTCTCTCTCTCTTTTTTCCTCTCTCTCTCTCTTTTTTCCTCTCTCTCTCTCTCTTTTTCCTCTCTCTCTCTCTCTTTTTCCTCTCTCTCTCTCTCTTTTTCCTCTCTCTCTCTCTTTTTCCTCTCTCTCTCTCTTTTTTCCTCTCTCCCTCTCGCTTTTATATTTCTGTGTACATTTTTCCTTTCTGAACAAATATATTCATTTCTTCTGTAAATAACATACAATTTACATGCTTCTGGAGCGTTTTTGTGTGTTTCTAAAATGCAAATTTTTGCATAGAAAACCTTTTTTCAATCAACTTTTCAGTGCTTATTGCAGCTCAGCCATTCGAAATCTCTAAGTTTATTAGGCTAAATATTCTTAAAATTGACTTACGAACTTATTTTTGAAGTTTTGGTGTTACCTCCCTGGACACTCGGTATGTATGTATGTATGTATGTATGTATGTATGTATGTAATTGATTTTCAAGGCTAACAGCCTTGTCTTAACCAAGGTATGCAACCAAAAGGCTGACCTCCATAATCCCACACGTTGCTCTCTCCTGGATAGAATACAAATGGGCCTCGGAGAGAGAAATGTGTTGTGTGGTCAGTAGTTGCCCATATACATATTGTATTACAATGAATTTATATATATATATATATATATATATATATATATCTGTTCCGGTCAGTCGGTAGTGCGTGCTCCTGGTTTGGAACACTCCGGGACACACCTTGACTCAAAGCGTTGTGTCGTATCAGTCAGTGAATTGAAATTTTGCAACCAACAGCTCTTGACAGCCAACTAGTAGTGTCGAACAAAACTGTAACCAAGCTGTCGCCTCACAAACCTTCGACTCTTGGGTCCATACTTCACATTTCACGCACTTAACATCCAATCATTACCTATGTTAATTAATATAATATGTTTTCTGAACGTCAACTAACTTAACTGTGCATTATTTTGGTGATGGTTTTATTAAAATACTATGAGGAGATTGAAATGCTCAAATGGGGCTTATTTTTCCCAAATTTGACTTAATATTTGTGCTAATGGTATAGTATTGTTCTTTCTATTAATGTAATAACATGAAAATAATCGTAATGGAAATCATGAGATTTTCTCCGTCTTTCATTTTTAACGGAGAAAAACCCCAGTATGTCTTTAATTTTATTAGTTCGTCCCTATTATTAAAGGTTAATAAGGTAGTGTGGGATGCCTTAAATATATCCTTTTTTTACTGTTTGATATATATAGTTTTTCTAGACCGAGTGAATACCTAGAGTTAGGTTATAAATTATTATTTCCTTTATTGCCCCAAATGCTCGATATTTAATTCAGCACTGCGATAAGGTATTGTTCTGGCTCAGTGCCGCACACGCACGAGGAGCCGTTAGGCCATTAATTATTTTAATGGTGAGTACGCTCGCTACGCGGATCAACGACAGACATTTCATGGTTTAAATCCAGAGGCAATGAAAAAGGTTTTAACTTTTGCGATGACAATAAACGTCAACGAACAGGTGTCAGGGAGCAGAGGTGAGTGGGAACTGTGGCGAGGTAAAAGGCACGTTGGCTAATGTGAACATGTCCAGTTTATATGGAGCCAATGAGACACATATTAATGTATTTTTTTTAATATCAAGCAATAAAGACGTTTATTAATGCCAGAGGCGTGAAAATTTTCTACCGCCCATTTAGGATTATAATGGTGGATATAATATCATATGGTGTATAAGTATACTATGTGGCAGGATGTAAACGGTGGTTGTATTCAAACTGGTTTACTTTCAGATTAGAGTTTTGAATGGTACTAAGGATTGTTTATTGTTTTTAATAACAATGATGATAAAAAATAAGATCTTTATGATAAATATAATTCTAAGATGCGCTTAATATGATTAGTTCTATTTCATTCACCAAGTATTTAATATCATTCTCCATTTATTATACTAAATTAGTCATATATTGCTTTTCCTACGAGTGTTGGACTAACTGAATTTCCTCTCATTTGGCTATTAAAGTAACTTGTTTGACCTTTATTTGATATTTCCATTTTCCATATATTCTTTCCTAAAAAAGCTTCAATGTAAACGTGATATAGTTTTGGTGGATTCCGTTTCCATTCATAAAACAAGATAATCTTTTTCTAGTAATATTTAATCAATTTCTTTTGTCAAAGTTCTTAATAATTACAACCGTTTCTATCTGCCTATCGTTCTAATTTTGTGCAAGTGTAAAAATGTAGAAGATTTCAGCATAGGGCACTAATTTATTCCAGGGACAAGAATTGGCAAAATGGGATTGCTCTAAAAAATAGGCGATCTTTAGAAGGCTTTGTATAAATTCTTGTAGCGGTCATTACAGCTTGGAATAATTATGGCGGTAGTATATTTACATAAGTAGATTACAGCAAAATAATTTTAAGACCCGAAGAAGATGTGGGGAAATTTTTTTACCAATGAACCAATAAAAGAAATGGAATACATGCCTGAAAAAATTTGAACCTCTCCTCGTAGCGTACAACAGGTTTAGAATATTCATGGGTGTTACTAATAATGAGGGAATTAGCTGAATAATGTAGGTTATGGGAGCGATGCCGTATACATATATTGTGAAGATGTGTGTGTGCGTAGAGACAGGAAATAATGTGAAAGTGATTAAAGGGTCAAGTGAGTGTAGTGAAGTGTAGTGAAGTATAGTAAAGTGAAGTGAATGTGAAGTGAAGTGAAGTGAGTGCATTGAACAAATTCGTGAGGAGGTTTGATGTATGATGTTTTTTTTTTAAGGTATTTTAAAATGTTTTTGAATTTAGACCGTTTATATATATTTTGAGATTTTTATTATTAATGTTAGTTTTTAGTATTATTAATTATGTATTATTAAGTTGATTGTTAACTGTATTATTTAATTTATGTATGATTAGCTTGCCACCTGTGGTTATGACGATGTTGCAGAAAATCAGATGTAATTCATGCTTATCTTATCTCTATGTTCTTGTGTATGGATATGCAAGCGACCAAGCACAGAGCTTTGTAATAAAAATGATATTTATTAGAGAAGAACAAAAAATATATACACCTGAATAATCTAGCTTACAGTAGTTGATGAACTATCTGATGGGGAGCGAATCCAAAACAAGATTGATGATGGTTTGATGGTAGGACATTCTCGAATGCTCTTTTGAAGCCGGACGAGTTTAGTGCGATTTTACGGGACCTGGGAAACAATGGTCGTTTTGGCCCAATGCTGGTTTGTTGATGCAGGAGCGATTTATCACGATTGGAGAATCGGCGTGAATGTGGAGACTGCGAAACACTCTTGCACTTCGGGGAGCAAGGACAACAGCAATTGGCTCCCCGGTGACAAGGCAGTCCCAAGGACAAAAAGTGCCGCAAGCCTTGTAACTATGACTGAGCGGGCTGGCTCCATATGCAGATCGTAGTAGGAAAGTTTTGTGCAAAGGAGGCAGAGGTTCTCCCGTGTTCAGCTATATGGCTTCGTAACTCCTTGTATATAGGAGAGGCACAGTGAGCGATCTACCGACGAGACCTGCTTGGTAATATAAAGTGAAAAGCTTATAAGCAGAAGACACCAAAGCCTTGTTATCCGTTCGCGTTCCTTCCTTTACGGAAGAAAGCTTTTCTGTGGCGAGACTAATCGACAAGCGTCCAAATAGATGCCATGAGGAGCCTGGGCTATTAACGTACTTATCTCTAAGTTCATATTAAGGTTATAATTAATTTATACAGTCGTTATCAAATGGAATTTTTTATAATCGATGGAAATTATATAGTGGTGCAATAAAATTGGCGAGATATTCGACCTAGATAATTACTTTCATGATTGAAGTAGGTTCTTTATCGGTAGGTAGTTACTTGTCAGTATATTAAAAGGATTTCTGAAGTTATTACGGGCTCTGGGACATGTGCAGTGAAGAGTATCATCGAATCATGAACATTCATACTATGTTCTCTTTGTGCTCCATCCATTCGTGTCCTAGCATTTATCGATAGGATTAATTAATTGTTTAATATATGTACAATGGAACTTGATATAAAATTCTGTATGTATTTTATAGAACCTTCATTTAAAACGTAACAGAAGTATTATTTGATAGAGTATAACTCCAATAAGCTAAGATACATAAATATACAGCTGTAGCTGATAAAACTTATTTATTTTCCTTATTTTGATTAAAATGTCTTTTTCTTTCTCAACAAATAAGGTTACTATGTCAGGTCGCTTTTGGTTATTAATGTTATTTTGAAATTGTTAACTGATTTTTATTAGACCGTATTTGGGAGACTAATAACGATAGGTATTACATAGGAAGCGTGAATGGTTGTCGGGGAGTTGGGCGAGCCCGAGAACTTGGTGGTGAAGAGATTTGTGCAGGTTCATTACTCGTCACTTAGGTGGCTGCGGTAAACAATGCGGTTTCCTCAGATGTGATGGTATATGCTGGTTGTCATCACACCTCTGTCAACTCCCAACACCATTATTTCATACTCTTAACCTTTTCAACATTCTTCCACATGTTCGGCGCTCACTCTCTCAATCTTCTTCTGTCTTTACTCTATTTCTGTCTTTCTGAGTAGTTTTTGTTCTGTTTAGTCTATTCCATTCTGCTGTGACTTTCCTTTTTTCTCTCGTATTGTATCATTTTCAATGGTATTCATGTCTGTGTGGGTTTTTCTCTCACCTTTTATCTTTCTTGTATCAGGCTGTTTTATTTTTATGCATCTTTGTTCTTTCTCTGACTATTTTTTCCTGTTTTTCTTCATTTCTCGTCTTATTTATTTTGTTCTTCGTGGGCGGTTGTGATAGGTAACGGTTTAGTTATGGCAGACAGGGGGTTTGTGACATGGAGCGTTTTGTTATTGAGAAATCGTGATGTGAGAAATCATAATTAGTTGATATTTCGGAGTTGGTAGGGCAGATGGTGATGGAAGACTGGTCAAACGTTCGTGTGTGTGGTCCTTTGAGACGCGTTGATGAGCTCCCGAGAGCTTGGGGACCTGTTATTCAGGTGAATGGCGAGGGTTGGCGGTCACGGCGTCCTGATTGGTTGGTACAGAGGGTGCAGAGCTGATTAGGTAGGGCGGTATGGTATGGCTGCGAGTTTTGCTTACGGAGCGGACGGGCACCATGTACTGAGGGATTATTTTTGGAGATTTGCATTTCTTTTTGTTGAAATTTTTGGTGTTGTAAAAGAGTGTGAGTGATGGAATGTTGGAGTATATGCTTGGTAGTAGTGAGGCGGGTGGAGAGAAAGTAGTTCGCCTTCAAGAAGAGCAATGATGGTGAGGCAGCGGTGCGACAGGGGTGAGGATCGGGAGTTAGACTACTTGTATGTTATTTGATAACATAGTGAAACAACAAGTATTGTACAGACAATTATGGGTAGCAAAGTAATAATTACGGCTTCTGAAATTCCGATTATATTTATTTGAAGGTACAGATGTGACAGAGAAAAGTAACTAGTTGACAATCCTGTAGTCCTAGAAAGTATCTATAAGCAGGTTCTGAGTTGAAGCAGAGAAGTATGAGGAAAGGAGAATGTGAACATAATTTGAAGAGATTAATTTTGTTGGTATTCGTATTTTTATCAATGAAAGCATAAATAGGGGAATAATGGTTGGGCCATGTGGGTTGGTATTGTAATACTAATTACATTAAAACACTAAGAGACGCAATAGAATGGGGACTAGTAATAGTAATACGTGTTGCCTGTGCTAAACAATAATTGAGAAAAATAGAGGGTTGGCATTAGTATAGTGACAGTGGAAAAGCAAATTTCATAGGAATAAAGATCATAAGAGCAGCGAGCGGTCAATTAATTTACCGGCCTGTGGTAAGATATAGAGGTTCAAAACCAAGAATTCACAGACATGATGCCAAAATCGGCGCGAAGAACTGATGATGGGGGACTTAAGAGGGGGTGTTAACAAGGATGGGCGTGTTTTGGCCGTAAGTTGTCATCGACAGAAGTGATATATAAAGTGACACATGAATGGGGACCGGAAAATAAGAGCTTTCGGTTGAGAACGAGAAGGGACAGACGCTAGAGAACGTGCGTAGAAATGGAATGGGAGGACGAAGTAAGGATAAGATGAACCGGGGTGATAAACAAGGAAGAAAAGGACATAGGTAGAGAGTGAAACGAAATCAAATTAGATGTTAAATTTAGTGAGACAAAACGCAATATAAGTGAGTATTTGGTATTTAGAGCAGTAAGGTAAACTAGGAAAAACGAGTCTAGTTAGTTGTGTTTAGCAGAAGCGGATTTGAACTGGAAGGATGAAGAATATTAACCAGTGCTTTAAAATAATTTGTTTGAATATGTAGTTTCTACATAATAGTTCCTGGAAGTATTAATCTTTCAGAATTCAAGAGTAATATTAATTGTTATTGTCTTAGAAGGGGATTGTGATTCCGTACACCGCAGTTATTTCGTTACACAAAGAAAAACACTTAAGCAAGCGGGGTTTAAATGTCCGAAGAAAGAAAATTTCTAAAAGAGACCGGGAGAGCAAGGGTTACATTCAAAGCAATTGTAGTAGAGTGAATATGAAATCAGTCGGGGTTTTGCTCAGAGAGAGTGTGGTTAGGTACGTGTAGGTTAACGGGACGCAGATATTATTGAGTCGCCGTGTCATGTAAACCCATAACTATTTTATCCAAGATACAGAAGGGAGAGGGTTCCAAGGTTTAAAACAAGTGGGTGGAAGTAGACTGAACGCAAGCGAGGGGAGATAGTATAACTGTGCTCTTTGGGATGCTTGGATTAAAGAAACTTGGAGAGAAAGAGGAGGCATAGAAGTTAGAGTCTCGTAGAATTGAAAATAAATAACGAAGTATTTTTGGGTGGTTGATTCGAGGCAGAGTACGATTGTTAAGGGGCCTGAAGTCTTACATGAAGTAGCACCTGGGAACAAGCCATAATCGGAGGACACGATGACGCAGCGTAAAAACCCATTCAACCTTGAATAGCTTGGTGTGGCTGATTCATTTCTACTTTTTGATTCCACCGGGTGGGGGTGCGCTGGCCTTTTCTGGCTGGGGCCCTCTGGGTGGTGGCTGGAATCGGTAGCTCCCGTTCGGTTTCCGACTTTTCCGGACTGCGTGAACCCCGGTTCGCTGCTTCTGGATAGCGAGTGGCCTCGTCGCTCTTGCACCAGTTTCATTTAATCTTTTTTCTCTTTCTGTCTTTTGCTCGCCCGTTTGGGCGGGCCTCAACGCGCCCGCGTGTCCCGTTTTCTTGTGCTCGGCCTCGCCACTGCGTTGCCCCGCCGCCGCTTACTCAGTTTCACCGGTTGACCGCTTTCGGCTGCGCCTCTGTCGTCGCCCCTGCGTCGCTTGCCTGCTTTTCCCTGGAGCGCTTGGCTTCGGGCCTTTTTCATGCTGTCTGCCCGTTTTCTCCTGCCGGCGTTTCGTTCGAGTCGAAGTGGTCGGATTTTTCGACCACTTGCGTTCTACCGCTCGGTGCCTCCGTGTGTCGGGAGCAGACCTCTCTCGACGGCGGCTGTCTGACTGGTTCACGTTTTTGCCGTGTTTCCGCTCACCAGCCCGGGAATGCCGCGCCGTCCTCAGGCGAGGAGCGCCCATTTTCTCTTTTCCTTGTGCGTACTTCCCTCCTACGCGCTCCACACGTATCGGGACGCTTTTCGGCTTGGTGGCACGGTTACATTCGTCTTACGCGTTATGGACGCTCTGATATAAGAGACAGCCACGTTAGCACGGTAAGATGAGCCTGGCTTCAGGTGCTGCGAACGGGCAATTCTCGCCACTTCCAAAGAACCAAATGCAACCTCCCTTCACACGAGACGACCGCGCCGCTCCGCTGGTCGTGCCGTGGCTCTCCTCCCACGCAACCCACTGCGTCTTGCCTACTCCTTTCCAGTTTTCCTACTCTTTCCAACAAACGTTTGTCGGCCCAGTCTTATGCCTAATTTTCCCGTCTTGAGTCTCGTAGACAAACAAAGCCCCACGCTGCTTACTTATTTACAGGGGTGGTCCTTCTCTGTGCCGGCGCAAGCAACCATTCAAAAGCAATAAGACGGTGCGCCTGAAAGCTTGAAGCCAAAAAAGTGATTGCACAGTGCCTCCAGACGCCTTAAAACTAATTCAAATTTTCTTCTTTGCCGAAGTTTCCCGTTAAGAATCAAAACACAGGTTGTTATTCATGAAAGACGATTTCTGATAAAAGGAAAATTCGCGTTAATGTTTGAGATTCACATTAGAACAGCTAAGTAACCTGGAAGATAAAGGTGGGAGAAATCTTACTGTTGTGACAGACTTGATTGTGCCCTTTCAGTAACTTTAGTGTGTGTGATAATGTCATGTATCTCTCTTTAAGTGCGTTTTTTTCTACGCATACTTTTATGTACAGATCTATATTCAGTCGTTCTTGATGACATTATTAACTGATAAGTCATATATAGATGAGAGATTTGATCCCCAGTAATGAATGGATTCCTTCTTGTTTATGAGGTTCTATATCAACATGCGGATGGTGTCTAGTTTAAAGCTAGTAGTTTCCCTGGTAAGCGCAGCTATTTTAAGTAACTGTTTAATCAAGTGCGCTATAATTACTAAATACGCCGGTGATGGAGACTGATGGCCCGACAACAATGATTATTATGTCTCTAATAGATTATAATAAAATACTGCGAGAACATCAAGAATGCGTGAGGTGATATTGCTCTTTTTTTTTCTTGGCTACTAAGATACGTAAATGGGAAAAGACTAGAGTGGTATAGAAAAGCAGGAGCAAATGAATGGTGCCTATTTTACATGTAGGAGAAAAGGTTAGTTAGAAGATACTTGTGAGCGAAGTTGATAAGGTGACTCGAGCGGAGCATTACTACGGGTCTTGAATAGGAGATGTCTGTTCCGTTTCGTAATATTGAATTCTGTAAAGTTCTATAAGAAATAAATATAGCGTTTAGATAGGAACATCTCATCGCTATTTGCCAGAAGCAAGTTCTGTGTACGTTCCGTTCGTTTTTTTTTACCTCAATTATAAGAAAAAGTTATGGTAATTTTTTAATAGCTATTAACGTGGTTGCGGTATTATTATTCGAATTATATTTTTGTGAAACGATATATAATTTCGGATAAGGTGTTTAAATTTTTGTTTCGTGTTTGTATCAGTAAATCCCAATTCGAGTTTCGTATGACCTGCATGTAATTGTTTTTACTATATACATATATAATGTAATTTTTTTGAATTATATATATAAATTATTTTTTAATATTATATATTTTGGGGGTTGCATCATTTTCGGCCTTCGTTTAGAGTAATTACTAAACGTTTTTTTAATTTTCGGTGTAGATGAGAAGCAGAAACATATTTTAACTAATTGCGTTTTATTTATATATATATAGATACCATATATTTTTTTTTAATATATATATATATTTTTTTAAATATATATATATTTTTTACTTTAATTAATATAATCGTTACTTATTGGTTGAGAGTTGGATAAGATTCCAACAGAAATATTAAAGCATTTGTGAGTATTCGAAAACGTTTGGAAGAAAAAATGTGAATCGTAGGAATTCAATTATTTATATTCTTTTTAAGCGTTTTCATGAATTCTAATAATTGTGGAAACATGAGAAATGGTAATGTTGAATGGTTCAATTAACCAAAGGCAGTTGGGTATATACTACAGTGAACTGACGCAGCAATGGTGCATTTTTTAAACCAGCAACATTAATTTTCCCTATATTTGCTTAATTAAACAGTAGATAAATTGTAGAGTCACGTATATTTGTTTAACTTAATTGATCGCTTCGGGGAATATTTGTTCATATAAGTAGCTTGCAATTAACTTACAGAGTTTTAATAATTTTTAGCCATGAATCTTGAGAATTTATTGATATAGAACTGAAATTTCGTCATTGATATATTATTACTGGCGAATAACATACTAAAGTACTGCACTGATTTTTGTGAGCTTTTGTGAGGTTGAACTTATACGGTAAATAAGAATTTGTTTGACTTGTGCTTGCTTTGCTCGACACAGTATTGGTTTTATTTTTATATGATACCTTTGATAAGTAATTCGATATTACCAGTTACCATTATATTATTTATTGGTATATGAGAGATGGACAGCATCTTAAGGCACAGGTATAACTATTTTCGGGGATACGCATTTCTGGATTTTCGATGTAGAAAAGTTTCATTATGGTGAATTTGTTTTTCTTCGTCTGATAAGTTAACAAGTGCAACAAATATTTATTTTATTTTCCTTCTGAATCTCATTGTGGTAATAAGAGCTTATAGTGGAATAAGAACGATTGTGGAATAAGCATACTAGTTTTACTAAGTTGTTAAAAATGCGATGGTCTATGGTAAAGCAAAGGAATTATTTATGAGTGTGAAAGGTAGTGTATATCTATTTTTTAGAAAGTTTTGTTGAGCGTATAGAAGGATCTCGATTAAGCTAGGCTTTAAATGTATGCGTAGATTTCGAACAATATGTAGTAAATGTAATTGAAATGTATTTCTTATGAGTAAGAGAATAAGTTGACGATATATGAGAGAATTAATAGAACAATAAACATATAACTTTAGATAGAGACATGAAGGCTTACGTTATAGCTAAAAAAGTTAGTATTAGTGTTGTTAATGTTAATATTCAGGTATAGAATACAGTTGAAAGTATGTATTATAGAGCTTTTTATATGTATTTTTTTTTTTTTGTGCGGATTTATGAGAAGTGAATTTTACGCATTACAGATAAGTTTTACGAAGGCAATTGTGGGTAGTTTGATAAATTGTAACGGTAATATATGGATTTTATGGTTGATGATTCAAGAGGAGGAATTGTATTATTATTCGGCTATAGTGTTTTCCAATTGTAAGAGGAGAAAATATATTTGTATAAATTGAAAATGTGATCAGTGTTTCATGTAATATTAAATTGCATAGGATAGATGTGTATTGATAGTGTTTTAATGACTTTTTAAAGTTGTAATTTAAGTTTAATGGCAGAAATTTCGCGCTTAATTCTGGGAGCCAAATTCTGCGCAGAGGGTACTGACTGTCTTTTTTTTCCGCGATGCAATTTAAGCTGATTGCTTC